CATTTAAAAAAATTAATGTGACCTTGACCTGACCTTCGCTACGCAACCCAAGGTCAAACTGATGTGATCAGTAAATACATCTTTTTAAACGCCACAACTTTTGTCTGAAACATTTTTTTGTAAAACTTATATTTTTCCTGATATTCGGGCGTCCCGGTACTTTCCGAACACCCTGTATATGTACAATTATAGCACAATATATCCAGAGAGAAAAATATATTCATTCTGATATCAGTTTGTAATCACATATATTTAAAACGTGAGGACAATAATAGACTTAGAAGCGGGCTCATATATAACTCAGACTGTAGACATGTTATGAAATCAAGAAAAGTACACAACATGATATCAATATGTGCACAAGCAAATACAAAGTTCTGCTTTGCTGTGATTACTATTTGAGAACAAATATTATACTTTATGTTGAGGTTTGGGTATATGAAATTCGTATATTATACAATGCTTATTGAAAAAACACAATTTTTATTGAAAATATAATCATTGGAATGGAAAAATACTTTCACATATCGATAAAATATTATATCTATATATCTTAATAACTATACAGTCTATCAAATAATTTATATTTGTTAACTATAAAAACGAAATTAAATTGCACATGTATAATCTTTTTCAATATTGGAGAACAAAAAATACCTACATAAAACGTCTTATTCAAAAGTATTGTTTTGGATCTATAGATTTTTTATCGTAATAATAATATTTTTGAATAAGACATTTTATGTAGGGATATTATAATAGCAATATACATCGTTAATAATGTATTTCTGTCTATTTAAGAGTTTCACTATCTCTTATTAATGTAATCTGACTAATCGATTTATTAATTAGAATTAACCACTTGTATGTATAGTCGATTATCCAAATTCCAAATAGTACAGTCACGTACTAGATCCTAAAGATATATTCAGATATCGAAATTACATTAATATGATATAACGGCGATATTCAAATAAACGCCTTTTATCACATTTTAAACGAAATATCACACTGATGTCACTATGATATATCGCTTGAGATAAAAGGCGGAAATTTGGATATCACTCTGATAAACGTAACATTACATTAACGTAATTTAGACATTTCAAAATACCTCTGGAATATAGTACGTGATTGTGCTATGTGGGAATTAAGCAATAATAGTTGATTAGTCGACTGATGTACTTGATTAAAGATAGTGAAAATATAGTTATATAAATACTATAGCTTCTAATTTTGTAATTTGTACCCTCAAACTTATAAATTAAATTAAAAGTGTTCATACAACTGATTTTACATTCTAAAGTATTATATCGTTATATATAGTATAGTTATATATAGTTATATAAAGTATAAGGTGTAGTAAAAAGAAATCCATTATTTTTTCAATAGATGGCTTTA